AACTGCTGACTGTCACTCTGATGCCTCCCTCTGGATCTTCTTTATGATGACTTCTAAACAGTCCTTTCTTTTTCATGTCCTTGTGACAAGGTATTTAGCAGAATTTGCAGATTTGTTGGAATCTGACAGGCCATGCTGTGAGTGCTTCTGCAATATTGTACTTCTCAATCTTCCTTCAGGAGGCCCCTGCTTTCTCTTTCTTATCAGGCTAGAGAGGCTTGTATGTACTGATGACCCTAACAGCAACACCACTGGGAGTCTTGTACTCCTGGTAGGGTCACCTGTGGCAGTAAGGTCAAAGGTGAGATATCAGACCAAGAGCAGTTCAACACAAAGACCTCAATGGTGGAGCAGGCAAATGCAGCAGGCATACTTCTCAAAGGCTGCAAAGGCGGATGAAGGCTGCAGTGAAGTAAACCCAGTTGTCTCAGATCCACTTGTCACTGGACAGAGGTTTCTCCTACACCAATATCTGTGTGGTTGCCAATGTGCAATGGCCTCCTCATGTAAAAGAAGTCACGCTCAAGCTTCTCCCACTGGTGCAACATCTACTACAATAACCAATACCAATACCCATCTAGAAAGTTCAGCGGCAAAGGAAAAATGGTGACAGGACAGAAAGTGATCACCAGGAGTCCCTAGTCACAGATCCACATGCAGTTGGTGGTCATGTGATGGGAACTTCACCCTTGATATGGCACAGGAGGGTTAATTGGCGCTGTGATTGTGCCTGAGCAGTCCTTTTTGCAATCCTCTCTGCTCACCCCACACAGGGAAGGGGCTAGAAAAGGTGCCTCAAACATAGGACATCCTATTTTACCTTACCCAACTAGATAGCCACCTCTAGGGAACCACTCTCATTGTGGTCAAAACACAAAAATGTCTTTTGCACCATGAAATGTATGAACCTTGCTAGGTAACCCAAACAGTGACAGGCCTAAATGCAGAGCAGCTATTGTCACCCAAGAACTCTTGTGATACAACATCAATATTGTGGCTCTCAGCAAGACCAGATGTGCAGATAAAAGGCAACTGAGGGAGGAGGGGGAGGCTATATGTTCTTCTGGAAAGGGAAACCTGCATATGACAGGTGAATACACAGCATTGGCTTCACTATTAAGAACCAGATTGTCAGCTGAATGACTGAATTCCCTGTTGGCATTAATGAGCCCTTTATGACTCTCCACCTCCAAGTAACCATCAATTTGTTTGATACCATCATCAGTGCATATGCCCTAACACTCGATGCCAAGGAAGAACAGAAAGAAAAGTTTTATGCTGACCTTGATGAAATCCTGACTGTCATCCTGAAAGAGGACAAGATCATCCTCCTTGGAGACTTCAATGTGAGAGTTGGCTGGGACTTTAACATGTGGAGGGGCACCATTGGGAAGGAAGGACTGGGCAAGGCCAATTCCAATGGCATCCTTTTACTCAGCAAATGTGCAGAGCATGACCTTGTCAGTACTAACACTATCTTCAGACAACGTGACAGGTACAAAACAATATGGCAACACCCCCATTTGAAACAATGGTACCTCCTTGACTATGTCATTGTAAAAGCGCGTGATCTAAAAGACATCCATATCACACGTGTCATGAAAGGAGCCCATGATGGTTCAACTGATCATCATTTAGTGACATCAGTCATGTCCATCATGACTGGTTTGATCAGAAGAGAAAAGCTTTCTGTGACTGGCAAAACCATCCTATGCCCAAATCAGAAGCTGAGAACTTTTCAACGGCTTAAAGCTGAAGCCCAGAGGAACATTTGAGAAATCAAAAACAAATTGTGGGAAGAGAAGGTGAAAAAAATCCAACAATCTGTTGACATCACAACATGTGGAGCTTCTTCAGTGCAATCAAGGCTGTGAATGGACCAAACTCTTGCGGACTCACTCCGCTTAGATCTGAAGATAGCAGTACTCTCCTCAAAGATAACGAGCCCATCAAAAATTGCTGAAAGGAGCACTATTGAATCCATCCTGCAGCATCTAGTAAGGAAAGCCCTTGACAGTCGGTCAACCTCTGAAGAAGTCCACCAGCAAAGCATCTGCCCCCTGGTGGCGTACCAGTTGAGGTCTTTAAAGATGGTGGGGAAAATAAGACCAACAAGCTCCACACACTGTTTCTTAAAATCTGGAACACTGAGGAAATTCCTGGTGACCTAAGGAATGCCAATATTGTCACCATTTTTAAAAAGGGAAATAAATCTGACTATGGAAACTATTGAGGTATCATCCCCTCCTCTCCATTGCTGGGAAGATCCTTGCTTGAGTTCTGCTGAACTGACTGCTCCCTCTTGTCAAGGAAATCCTTCACAAGTCTCAGTGTGGCTTCAGATCATCAGGAGGCACCATGGACATGATTTTTGCAGCCCAGCAGATCCAGGAAAAATGCTGAGAACAAAACCAGGAACTGTATATAGCCTTTTTTGGTTTGACCAAAGCCTTCGACTCTATTGACTATGAGGCTCTACGGAAGATCTTATTGAAGTTTGGGGGCCCTGGGAAATTTATTACCATCCTAAGACTCCTTTATGACCAGATGACTGCTTCCATCCTATGCAGTGGTTCCACTATGGAGTCCTTTGCCATTCAAATAGGCATCAACTAGGGCTGTGTGACTGCACCAATTTTGTTTTCTTCTGTAGTGGTCATTTTTTGCTCTGGGAGAAAAATCCTGAACATCAGTACACTCATGGTTTCTCTTTAGAGAAAAGTGACTCTACCAGGAAAAAGTGAAGGTCCATGTATATGGCCCAAGAGAACTTTGAACTGTCTGAATTTACATAAGAAATTATTATTCTCAGTATTTTGGGAATAAAAACATATTTCATGAGTTCTGGTGAAATGGAAGTCAGAATATACAAATATGGAAACAACAGATAATGCTATAAAACTAATGCTGTCTGTCTGCTAAGAAACTATTTCAGAGATGTCCTATGGATTGTATTATGCGGGAGGTAAAGCATCAACACAAGCATCCCTTCTCATGTCTGAATCCAGGAATAAGTTGAAGACAAACATACAATTTGTTCAATTACTGAGACAAGATAGAGGTGACTAAGTTATCCAGCAGTTTTTAAGAAAGCTATTTCTTATTTATGAACTACAACATAAAATACAATATGCTTAAATTAAGAGTGGTTATTCGTTCTAACAGTATTCACTTATGCTCTGGATGACTTGTGGTGTAATGTTGCACAGGATGAACATTTGTAAACAGCAGGTATTCTGCCTGCTATTGATAAACAGCTCATTAATGCCCACGGTAGCAGAAATGGGCAAGTATGCCTTTAATGTAGTTTGGTAGTAATGCTGTTTTTGCATAGAACTGGGAAGAAAGAAGGTAGGTTGTAGGTTTTAATTCAAGGTTAAAATTCAGTGACATGATTTTTCAAAAGTGCAGTTTCCACTGACTTCAGTGGAAATTGAGAGTGTTTAGACAGTAAGAAAATTTGTACATTTGAAAAAGAAGAAAAGGGTGGGGGGAAGGGGTAATTGTTTAGAAGTAAGAATGATACTATATCATATTAAAAAGGCCTCCTGACCTGCCACTCCAACAGAAAACCAAAATCCTGACTACGCTATAGAGAAAAACTACTTTCAGTATCGTGTGACTTTTACAGTCATTTAAAATTTACAGTTTAATTATTGTTTGCCAAAGATTAATAAAAATTTCATAGCTGTTATAAGCATGTTACACATGTGAATAGTATTTGTTATAGATAGTTATAAAAACATCTAAAGATGCTATACTTTTTTGACAAAAGGGTTATAATCATCCTAGTAATCTGTTTTATTCTATAACAATACAGAACATTACTTTTTAAGGAAGTCTCTATTAACTATTTATAAAAGGTAACATTAAAATAAAGTTGACTAGTATTTGAGTTTTTCAGAAACTAGCAGATTATGACATTTCTACAAAACTACTAATCTGAATCTCTTGAAAACAGGACTGGATAACGCTCTTTTGGCTGGATAATTCAGTTCTTCAAAAATCTGACAATTATTTGTTGAAGTATTTTATTAAGTGAATGGTGACAAGTGCCTTTGGGAAAATAGATATGTATCTTGAAAATTTTGATGCCTGGCATCTCATTTTATATCTAAATGTTCCAACCACTACTTTGCCTCCAACTCTCCTCTTTAACTTATGAAAGCATCCATAGGTAGACAAAATGAGACACACACATAACCCAGCCAATGTCAAATCCATATTCATTTAGGGGGAAAAATACCAAAGTAATATCCCCTGTTGACCCCCCCCCTCTTTGAAACATCTTTAAAATATCAACCAGGTAGGCCAGTAATTCTCAACCAGGGCCCTGCAGTTCCGTGGAGTATTTGAGATCCTTGCAAGAGTGTTACAGAATGCTAGTACTGTTAGATGTACAAACATGATTCACAAGATAAACCCAGAGATTTTAAATAAGAATTCATATTGTTAATAACACTGAATAACATTGTGGTCATTCTGTGGTCTAAGTCCTTTGCAACAGAATAATTGCTCTGTTATTTTTCTGTACTTAAAAAACAAATGAAAACTCATAGCTGGCACTTTCTGAAGGATACCTTGAGTCTAAAAAAGTTGAGAAACACTGAAGTAGGCATCCATTCTCCTAGATAATTAAATTTGGTTTGTATTAGTTGCAATTGCTAAGAATTCCCTCACAATGAGGTGACCCACTTTTTCTCCCACTAAGCAGCATGTTCAGAAATATTTCCCCTTGTTTACTCTTAAAACACCATTTATAAATGTATTATTCCTTCTTCCCTCCCTTCCTTCTTTCCTTCTTCCCCCCTCCCCATTATCTTTAAGTGCTAGCTGGCAGCCTGTTTACATAAAGCATTCCAAACTACAATTTATAACAAGTTTAAGACTCCTTGAAGGTCACTTCATGTAAGCTATGTTTACTATTTGGCATCTAGTTAGACAGAAAGTGTGTGTACGTGGGAGAAAAGCGATGCAACACATTTTTTTTGCCTCTTTACCTTGCCCTTGTCAAAGTAATGGATAATTTCTTGATACAGCTGATCTTTTAGTTGTCCTTGAGTAGTTGCCTGGTATCCATCCCGCTGAGTAAGATGTGCTGCACATGCCTCTTCTGACCACTACACCATATATGAAGAAAGAATAAAAATGAAGGCAATAAAAGGCAATATAACAAATCAATGAGGTAAGACTAATTCAAACATGCATTCTTGGTTTATACTTTGACAACGTGACATCAAGGCTGACATAATATCTAAAAGATTTTACTGCAGTTATGAAACTGTAATTCAGTTCCTTTTGGCACTGGATTTATGGCCCAGATACCTCCAGGTCAGGAGGGAATTGGGGAATACTCACGTGAACTACAGTAAAGAGAAGACTGTTTACATTTTTTTAGCATCAGTTACAGGGAAACTCTTTGACAGGGTTTCCTTTCCCCTTTGATAGAACAGATTAGAGGGACCTTATACTGTTGATCAACACAGCTAGCTAGATAAAAAACAGAATTAATAACCTTTAAGTTAGAAAAAGCCCGAAGCACCAAGTTCTGTTGACACAAGTGGATAGAACGCTTCACACAGAAGGTAAAGAGCTAAAATTCTTTGACGATGTTTAGAGGAAAAGGAATATGTAGCAGCTAAATAACAAAAAAGCTCTTTAATAAGGTGATCTCGTTTTTCTAATTTTTGAAAGATAATGACTTTATACCCTCCTTTGAGGTTGAAAGAATTTTAATTTCACTGGCTGGTTCAGTGAACAGCTGACATATATTTGTGTGCTTGCTTACAGCCAGGCTCTCTCTCACTTATTGCCTTGGTATTATATTTAGCATACAGCAAAACATATATAATAACTATCTAGGATAGGCAGATAATCCTAAAACAACATCCAACCTGGAACATCTTTTTGCAATTGCTTTACAATATGATATATATTTATATATCATATTAATAATTACTTATTGCAAAAGACCATGGGATACTTCAAGATATTTATATCATTATATATCAAACATATTTGAAGGTATTCCATCTACAGTACCCAACTAAAAGAGGAAGGATAACATGCAATATGAAGTACATTAGAATAAAATTAAAAGAATAGCTCATATTGAATATAATATTATCTGTTTTCTTATACAGAGTACTAAAAGGTACTAATATGGGATGGAAAGGAATCCCTACAAGGACAACATTTCATAGATTCATTCTTCTAGTTCTGGACCAGAGGGGACCATTAGGTCACCTGACAGTCTCTGAAAGAGAAACTATGCTGTGTGTGTATTTAACTTGAAGTAATTTTGGGAACAGGACACAAGCTCTCCCTCTGCAGTGACAGAGTTCTTACAGATTTATATGTGGGAGTTTCAAGAGCTCTCTTTGCTGACCTAAATCTAATCCCATTAAAATCAGTGTGATGAAAATGTGTGCCAATGCTAAGTGTCATTGAAAATCCATCCTCATGGTCTAGTTTTCAAAAATCAGAGGCACTGAAGTTTAAAGTTACATACTGCATAGAAGGGAAGGAAGGCACAAGGTTTCCTGATCCTTCTCAAGCACCTTGTACTATTATTATCACCTATTTGAAACTTACAGCATTTTCAAAACGGAAGTGAAGGGGGCCTCATAGACTTTCACATATGAAAATCACAACAGATCTGACATATTGAAAAACTACAGTAATAGCTATCTTGTATTTATTGCCATCTTATATTTTACCATCTTGTATTGTTTTGCAGAATAAAACTGATTTTGGATATTTCATATAAAGTAATAGGACTAAGTTAAATATACATTTAATCTGAAATCATTTTATTAGGAAGAATAAAAATCATGCTTGATTCAACTCTAATTTAAGGTTATACTGTACAAAATATACTGATATAAAACTTCTAGTCCTAATGGGTAAAACAGAGTAATATTATATTGCATACTCAGCTCCATCATTTTCCCCAAAAACACTGGGAAGATTTTATATAGTTTATCAGGTTTGCTTGTGGAATATTGAGGTAGCAAGTTATGACAATACAGACATCACTTAATTCCACTAAGAAAGTATTATGCAGACTGTCAAACCCATTTAATTTCCCTGTTGGGAATAACAGAGATGCCTGTGTTCACAAAATTGTTTAGTTATTCATTCAAATTTGTAACTGAAGGCCGCCAGAAAATTCTTTGCAACTGCAGGTGTCAACGTCATCTCCCCAAATCTTTATATTCTTAAGTTATGTCCCTGTGTGGTAAATTGCATTACCAAAGCATTAATGTACAAAAACCCCAGCTTTTAATAAAGGATAAAGCTCTTACTAAAGTGCTTTTATGTGCCAGCTGAATCTCATTGACATTTTTTTTTTCACCAATCAATTTTAGAGTAGAACAGAGTGCACATGTTTGAAAGCATCTTTATGCAGGTCTCACAAACGTGCTCTTCAGTATATTCAGGCATGCTGTGGTTACAGTTTGTCTGCTGTTTGTTCACAATACTGAGGTATATATAAGAAGGCCCCAAGGGTAACCTCTAAAATATTTAATTTAACACCCAGTGGGCATGTCTAAACGTGCACTAATGCGTAGTGATTGCTGAGCATCTAGTTTAGTACCTGTAAACGTGCAGTAACTGGTATTATTGCATAGTAGCACCGCACACACATTTTAGGGAATAGCTAATCTTACTGCACATTAGCACGAGTTTTGCCCTCCGCAATATCATGCAGTAGAATTAGTCTACTGTACTCAAAGCATCTCTGCATGTGCTAATGTGCATGTGAATGCGCATTGAATGTATTTTTTTCATCTAAAAACTTATCTCTGAGTTTCTCAGATTACTACAAAGACTGTGAAGGCTACTGTACTGCATTCTATCAGCTAGTTACTTTAAAAATGAGTTACCTTGAAGAAATCTTCTGTATTAACAGAGATCGCTTGAAAACATACCTGCTGCTGGCAAGTGAAATTGCTGAATAGGAGAACCCAGTCCTATTGGGAAATTTAGCCCTCTATTCCATGTCTTTCTCTGATCAGTACTTTGTTGTATTCTCACTGTACACTAGACTGACTGCAAGAAGTAGAGTACCCCAACCCCTAAGACTCTGAAGAACAAACTGTTCTTCTGCAAAGGAACAGAAAATGATTCCAGGACTCCACAGGGGGAAAAGGAGCTTTCCACTGCAGGCCAGTGAAAGTGGGCAGAGAGAACAGAATCACATTGCTCCCACTGCACACCCAACTAGGGTGACAGGAAAGAAATAAATTGACCTCTTATCACCACAGTAGCCAGAAGAATTTTGAGACTACAGATCCAGAAGAAGGATAGGTCAAGTATCAGATTCCAAACAGCTATCACTTAACCTGGCCATTGATGTTGTGCTTTAAATATTAGGTTTTGTTCTCTGGCTAATACAGCTGACTTGGACTTTTCAGCCTTTGCTACTGTAGAATAACGCATTATAAAATATTAAATGGTAAAAAGCCTATAATTTAAAAGTTTATCTCAGGTCCAGGTACAAATATTGTGAGATATGCACGTGTGTATATAACATATATGTATATTACATATTTTTACACGCACACGCACACATGTATTCCTTTTTGTATATCCTGTATATATCTACAGCAGTACTATTATCTATCATTAGATTCAGTGCATACATCATACTACTTCAGCAATATTAACCACTTGTTTTAAAGACATGATTCTGGAAAAAGGATCATTGCTTGTATCTTCTAATGGTTCTGAATCAAAGACTAAATTTAAGATACCCCTGGGCTGACTCATTATTTTAGCAAAGCATTCTTTAATTTGCAAAAACGCAAGCTAGGGGTGTGTGCGCGTGTGTGATGTGATGTGAAAAAGGAGGATGAGAACAATTTCAATTATTCACATGAAAATTAATGGAAAAATTTTAAATGAGGAAAATGAGCAATTTCAAATTGCAAGAGAGAAATAACTGAATTTTCCTAATTTTTTTTCAAAATCACTTTTATGTATTTCTACTTTTTCTAATGAGCTTAATTAAAGTACGCTGGTAGAAAGATGTGTTTCCCTGGACTTCTATACCATGAACATCATCTCATTTAAGCAGTATTCTCATAGTTGGTCCAAATACTGTCCTCAGCTGGCTAATGCAATGCTCATTGCCATCACTGGGAAGAACGATCAAAAGAGTAGATGTCATGAAGCCTCCCACTGTGTGGAAACAAATCCACTATCTGTACTCAAGCCCCAAATTTAATTTTTCTTTCGGCCACCTTTTTCCTGCATTCTTTGACTACTCTGTACTGGGCCTTTAATCCTTTCATTGACGTAAAACCTAATCTTTGTAATACTTAAGCACCTGGCACACAATACCAGATAATCAGCTAATTACATCTTAAGTAGTTACCTGACCACACATTTATGTAATTAATGGTGTGATAAAACCAGGAAAAAGCCACAAAGTTTGTACATAAAATAGTGTAATAACATTAAGCTGGTTCTCATCATGCCATTAATTGAACATGTGGCTAGGCTGAATGGGGCTCCCAACCTCCAGAGAACATGGGAGCTTTTGACTCCCATATACTCTTGGTGTTAAGAGTGCCGATCACCTGATTACTGCTCATAGCCTTGGGGGCCTTGTGGAGCCCAGGCTGAGTTGAGGTTGGGAGCTTCAAGCAGCTGTCACTTCCAGCTGCAGGGGCACATCAGAGCCCTTGACTCCAGTATGGTCCCTTGGCTGGGACCACACAGCCAGGAGCGTGGGACACACAGCTGGAGTTAAGGGCTCCATTGTGCCCCCATGAGTGGGAGCCCCATCAGTTAATTATGTTCCCTGCCTCAGGGGCTAGGGGCTCACTATGTGCCCCCACAGCTGAAAGCCCCATCAGCAGATCTGGGCTCCCACCTCTAAGGCTGCACCATGGGCTTGCTGTATAGGTTTAAAGTTTTTTGGTGGTCAAGGCCATAAATAAGTTTTATAATACTTAGTAAAAGTATACTTTTCTATCTCCTTTTAAATTTTTGTGTCTAAACTTTAAAACTCACTGCTGACAAAATTACAGAATTGGAGTAAATAAATTCAGGTTTTGACTTAAAAATGGAAACATCCTGTTGCAATTAAACTTGTCCTAGATAACAATGCAGGAAACAAAGTTTATGCACCACAATATTTACAATAGAATAATGTCATCTGAAGTTTGTAGCTCATTGACAAAATATTTAAATAAACGTCACTTTTAGGGGAACATAATAACAACAGCAACAATAATAATGTATTTAATATCATGATTATATCATTATCATGATATTATTATTATTACATTATCTATCAATGATGCGTTAAAAAGTAGGTGTCATTATTCTGTTATGTTCAAAGTCTTAATGTTTTCATTAATGTATTCCATGTAATTAAAATTATTTATTCTATGGGCTTCTCTGTAGATCTACTGTAGACACCCCTTGTAGAAAAACAGTACCATTATCTTGCTTTAGATTCACTGTATATATCATATCACTTCCGCAACATTAGCCACTTCCTTGAAAGACCTGATTCTGGAAAGGGGACAATTGCTTATGTCCACTAATGGTCCTGGATCAAAAACTACATTTAAGACACTCCTGGGTTGATTCACTTTTGATTCTAGCACAGCATTCTGTAATTTGCAAAAATGTATCCTTGAATTCTTTGATCGATTACTAGCTCTTTCCTATGTCCTTACTCAAATTGTTATTTTTTATTAATGTCTTACAATGTTTTTCTTTATTTTGTTGTACTCGTTCTATTCACTTTTTAAACCAGATTCAGTAAGTCTTGTTAATTTTCTAAGAGTACAATACTAAGGATACAATTCATTTTTTTGCTTCACTATACTGTGTATTAAGTATACAATATCATCTAATTTTGAAACACACAGTAAATTGCAACATAATTTTCTTTGAGCTACTTCATTTACTATTTTGAAGCATAACTATACATTTAAATATGGATGTAATACAGCTCTTCTGGAGATATGCATGCCTGTATCTGTAATTGGCTATATTAAGATTTTCTTAATATTAAATGCATTTTAGTATTTTACCTTAAGAAGCTTTGCATGCAGAAGTAATGTGTAGGCAGCTTCAGTGTAGTTATCACACTCTTTGTGCAGGTCACATAACTTGTATAAATACCTACAGTAATAAATGAGAATCAGACCTTAAAATGTCACAAAATAATTTGTGTTGAAGACTAACACAGCTATACTGTATGTTCAAACAGTAAAACATATCTAGGATTTTAAGGCTCATATTTCACATTTTCAGACAAACTTTTAGGGCATAACATGCCAGGAAAATCAATAATAAAAATTATGAGCTAGTTGTTTTAGACAGTTAAAACTCCTGTAGCTATAAACTCTTACACTCCAGATTTTGGAGATAACCAGATAAATAAAGGTGTTGATAAAAGAGTTAACTTTATTAAAGAGGTTACTAACAACATATAGCCTTCAACTACTTTTTGAAAACCATTTATGTCAGGGGGAACAGAAAGAATGATAATAAACATACAAATAGTAATGATAAAATAAACAATAATGACTTAGCGCAGTGGTGCCCAACCTCTTAAACCCACAGGCTGGATGGATGGTGTGAAGTACCTTCTCTGGCTGGATCCAGCTGTAGGGAGTTGCACAGCCCAATCCTGGTCCATCTGCCTGGGGTGGAGTCAGAAAATGGCTCCTATTCAGATGTGTGGGGTGAGGGGGGAGCAGCACCAATCCAATGCATGTGCAGAGGGAGCAGCTCAGCCGGATCCACATGCATGGGGAGGGGAGGGAGAGGACTGGGCAGAGCAACCCCTCTTCGGATTCATGGGAGGTGGGACAGAACAGTCCTGATACAGATAGGCTGGGGGGAGGAGGTAGGAGCAACCTGGTTGTAATCCAGATGCACAGGGGTTTGTGAGATGGAACATTTTGCCTTTAATCTTGATTCACGGGTATTGGGGTAGGAGAGGAAGAGCAGCTGAGCCCAATTGGGGTCAGACCGAGCCCTGATCCTACCGTGGAGAAATGCCCTGGATGAGGCTGAATCCGGGCAGGTGGAGTTTCCATTGTTCTCCACTGCCAAGTTTTCTGACCTGTTTTCTGACCTGTGGGTATCCCTGCAGGCTGGATGTTATGGCTCCCCAGGCATCTGCAAGAGATGCTTTCTGAGCAAAAGACTAATCAGCTGTGCAGGAAATGTCACTCATCTACAAATGTGCCCCTATTAGGCTGGAGTAAACTAATTTATTCTGTAGCAGGATAGTACTTGTAAATACAGGAACTAGCCTGCTGTGCAGTTTTTTCCTCCGCAACAGCACATGTGTAGATACTGCCCCAGCTGGCTAGGGCATGAGGGTGCTTCAGTATGGGAGCTGCCTGCTGGCTAGCCCCACACTGAAACACTCTTATACCCCAGCCAGCCCCTCCACACATTGAGCTGCTGCCAGCCAGGGCTGCTCTGACCCAGCAAACCGTGCTGCGGTTTCAGGTGCATGTCCAGCAGTAATGAACTCGGGGGCAATAAGCTCCAGAGTTTATTCATGTGCCTTAACTGCATGTATAGATGGCACCCACAGTGTGTGTAGCAGTCAAAAAAAAAAAAAAAAAGAACAAAGGTATTCTGACCCCAGTTTTGCCTGAACCATAAGGCCATCCTACCTCCTAAAAATAATATTAACGTACTTTAAAAATTGATCAAAATACACAAGTTTCACTGTCCAGAATGAATGGATTCAAATTTTTCTGTTTATAGAATAGGATATAATCTTGTTCTCACTGACTTAAATGGGAGATAGTTTAGCTTCATACAAATGTGGTAACAAGCAGATGCACAAATAATACTCTTGAATATATTTTCATATTCATAATCCATACTTCTGTTGAAATGCAGGTCCTTTGCTCTCAGGGAAGAAAGGAGGAAAAAAATCAGTGCATCAACCTGAATTGTTACTGTTTCTCCCAAGATGAGACTAGGTGCCTCAGAATGAATGCATGAACGATATGCAAATACACATAACAGACAAATGAGAGGGTCTTTTTCTTCATTTTAATCACAATACAGATGATGGAGTATTTTTAAAGGATGTAAAAATAGGGAAGTAGGAAGCTTTCTAGAAAAATGCAATCAGGAAACTTTTTCCAATATTCCCATTTTTAAAATGCTGTATAAAGGACAGCCTTTGATGGGCTCCTAAAAGTTTTAATCTTAAAATAAACATTTTGTTAACAGTCTTTATTATCAGTTGATTTTTCAAATGGCCATACAATAAAATAAAATAAAATAATTTCCTTGCCCTGCTTTCTTTTGCTTGATCTTTTGTAAATCACAATACTCCTTAGTATTTAAGTGTTTAGATTAATGAAAATGAAGGTACAAAAGTAGGATTAGCAAAAAGCTTATGAGCCTTATTACTGTTGCTTATTGTTCTCTGTAAACTCAATCTACATAAGCTTCACTACAGGTGTATCCCTCAGTACTGCCATCTTTTTCAGATCAGTAGTATAGTGTATGCTTAATTTTCTCCAATTTCAGTAATATCAGCAAGGCAAAAGATGTTAAATACCATATTTACAAACCTTATGTACATTTCTTCTCTTTCAATTTCTTTGTAGAAATTCTGAAATATAAAATAATTCTGTTTTAAAGACCTTGATTTCTCTCAAAGTCACATATATAGAACATGAATTAGATTAAAAATTCATAGTTGCATAACATCAACCTTAAAAACTGCAAAATGAAACTTGCCTCTGGTGGTAGAACACATAAGTTATTTAACTATAAAATCTAAATCTGTAATGATGTTTCATGGTGTAGCATATTAGGGATTATGTTTCATAGCAAAGGTTAAGAATTTGCAAGCACAGTACTGTTAGAAATGTGCTTCTGGCATTTGCAAGTCACACATCATTAACTGCTTTCAGTTGAATTTTGGTAATGTACAAAAACAGTTTTTAAGTAACTGTTGAATGAGGGATTTTAAAATCTCAACCTTGAGTAATAAATCATCGACTTCTGAATTTTAATATTTTCTTAAACAATAAAAAGTTAGAATAGTTTTATTTTTCTATTTTTATATACCACACATCATAGCCATTATCCTGCAACATATGCCTGAATGCCTCTAGCCTTAAGATAGACTAAATTAAGTGCTGCAAATATTGTAGGATATGACACATCAGGCAAGATATTAAAGATACTAAGATTTACCCCCCAAAATTTTCAACGTAATGTAAAGTTTATATATTTAAAAGCTAAAAATATCTTTAAGAAAACAGAACAGGTATAAACCTACCCCCTGTTACATATTTTTAGCATATATCAAACATTAAAAGAAACGTGTGTACAGCTGACAGAAATGCTGTATTTGAAAAGAGCCCAAGGTGTCTGCAGAACTCCATGGCTTTAGTTTGCAGGAGGCAGGTTTTGATTGAAAACTTTTTCACATTTGCATAGCTGTGCAGTCCGTATTGTCTCCTTTCAGTTCAACTTCAAATAAACTCCCCAAATCAAATGAAACTCAGCTAATTTTTTGTATTTTGCTTTGTTTGGTTCAAAAGGATTTGAAGCTGCTGATTTTCTAGGTACAATGACTTGAAACCGCTACTCCCTCATGCTGATAGTTACCATGGCTGATCTTTAACTTTTTGATGTAGTGTGGAAAGTGCCAAAATATTAACTTGATTAATATCAAGTTAATATCAAGTCTGATATATAACTTATATAAAGTTATATTATATAACTTTATAGATAATATAACTTACATAAGTTATATTAATATTAATATCAAGTCTGGCCTAAGAGAGGCGGCCAGACTTCATCCCTCTCCAAAGCCTAGGCCCATTAGAGGCCCAATCAAGCCCCACTTTGAGGCATTAAGTAGGAATTAAATGATATGCAGACTTTGGGCTTACTCGCTATAGAGGGATGAATTTCAGCCTGGGTGAATTGGAAAGGATGAGAAGATTATGTTAACTCTAGAGGGAGAATAATATTTTCAAATGGAAGTAGATTTTAAAACATATTTAATGACAACGAGCACTCAGATGTTTGCAGGCATCTCCTGATAACTTCAGTGGGAGTTTTGTGTATCCGATGGCAATTTGGCTCAAAGACAATAAATCCCACTCAAAATTTACTGTATGTAAATATCTGAAACTTTCAGATCACATCCACTATAGGTAAAACAGCATCAAGAGACTCTATCACAAAAATAGCCATGAACACAAGAAGAAAGAGTATATTCAATGAAAGACAAGATGTGTTTGGAGAGAAAACCAAATACAGTTAGCTTCCCATGTAGTGGACACAACAAAATTTACCAGGAAGTATTCTTAGAGTTGACAAAAAAAGGAAAAAATAAAACATCTAGGGTACGGCGGAGGAAATGCTTCCTACTAAACTTTCCCAGTTTTATAAATTACTACAACTTGTTTTATATCTTCTTCAAAGCAATGTCAAATGCCTCTTGTTTTTGCCATTCCTTTCTTGTCAGTTACGAACTGGCAATATCTTGTCACTATTTCTATGCAGAAGGACACGCTGCCTCTTCTGCAAGCAATCTAAGCATCATTCCCTGGATCAGTGGTCAGTGACAAATTTCAAGAGTTCTTGTTCTTCCCCACATTACAAAGTGCTCAGCCTCTGCTGTACTAGGATAACAAAAGCAAACTGTAATGCAGGTTCCCATTTACAAATTGATGGCTCTATATTCTCTGCCACTCTACCAAGGCAATTCACTTGTAATACATGATAGTGTAGTTCAAAGTTTGTCCTGCATGAGCTGAGAAAGGCTGCATTACTCATTTATGGGGAGGTCACACATGAATTACTCAGATCTTCCCAAACCAGTCCAAACAAAACCTTTCGACCATGCCACCATATGCTACTGTGTATTCTGTATATGACACATTTTACTAGAGAAAAACTGTTTTAGCAATGTCATGGAAATATCAGCAGGGCTTTCTTAGATACCCATCAGTCCAAATGTCTAGTTCTGTAAGGAAAATTAAACTGTAATGAAAACAGGTTATGTGAAACCTTGAAGAAAGTATCACCACACAGCCTTCCCATATAAAATGGTGTAATTGTAAGATCTGATTATTAGGATTTTCAGGGCTATTGAAATGTGCCCTATTAAGCCAGACATTTCTTCTTTCTAACTGCTTAAACTTCCTTTTCTAGCCCTAATGGGTTAGAATTTACTGAGTCCTTAAACTGTCATTGATCCAAACCCAAATATTTCCTATTCCAAATCCACTGCAACTTAGAAGAAAATTCAACATTTGGGTAGGAAGTAGCAAGCGTTTTTTTTTTTAAACTAAATGATGGTTGCTAAAGGATTTTGAAAACTGGAAACAGTCCCAGAAGGACTAGATTAGTGAGCAGAATGCAAATACAATGGTGAAAAGTGTATGATCAATTCAATTTATTATAGGCTAACATCATAACACATTTGATTTTTCATATGCATACAAGTATAAAGTTGATAATACTCAAGTAAGGGCTGCAGTCTGAAAAATTAAGCATTAAAATCTTCTCTTAAAATATTAAATATATAATAAAGAATATTTTTTTTAAGGATCCCACTTCTTTCTATAGCACAAATCACCCTTATTTTCTTCTCAGCAGAAGAGCTTAAGATCTTTTGTTCTAAAGAAGAGCTCAGTGTTAAATTAAAAATTCAGTATCTGTTCTAAATTTAGATTATTCACTTCTTATCACTTACCAGTACATTGACAGTGCAGCTCATGCGATTTTCTTTGTTTTCATCATGCATTATGGTTCTGTAATCCAGCAGTCTCTCCATCAAATGAACAACAAGTTTCACAAAAGTTTCTCCATTTTTGGCAAGATATTTGTGTTTTCTGCAGTGCTCCAAGAGACTGAAATAATTACACACACCTTGTTAATCACACTCAGACAGAGGAACTTGACTGAGGTGCAATTTTAAATATTTTGCATCATTAACAGATTTTAATTATTTCTGGGCTACAAAGTTCATTGTAGTGTAATTGCTCTCTCTTTTGACTATATTCTGATATAAATCCCACTGCTAATCAACACTTACATTTTGTCAAATAACACTTTGTACTGCTCATCTCCTCTGCCTCCTTCCACTTCATGATCCAGCTTTGTGATGATCTCATTTTCAAACTATAATTAAACAGAGCAAGCGTAAATAATCAGCATGCCAAATATTTCGTTTTATTACTGTAGCATCAATGGTTCAGAGATTGGTTGGATCTCTCCAAGAGATGTTTAACCACTGTGTTTAAGCTTGATTAACTTTAAGAGTTTCCAGTTTCTGATATTAAAGTGTCCATTATGATCTGCTGCCCTATAAGGATCTTTCATAGAGGAAAGTATTGGTCATGTTGTTAAATGAAGCTTAAATATTTGCATTAGGAAAATCTAAATAAAAGTGGCTGATGACAAGGATGAGAGGAAAAAAGAGAGTATGTAGAACAGACACACAATGTCCCCTGCAATAATTATAACAGCAACAAATATAGGCATTTTGAAAGCCTATTACTGATGATATATAACACCTAAGGCTGCTCAGCCAGTTGGAGCACTCAACTGGATGAACATCCTACATGTCTTTTTAGACTGAAGATATTGGCTCATAGTGCAGGACACAACAGACGGTTTCAAAGTCATTGTTAAAGGAAGAAAGTTCTTTCAAATGGGCAAAGACTATTTTATCTAGGAAGTAATCAGATGTATACCTTCCTGCTCCTACATACACCAATCCTGACAATCCCATGTATGAGAGCAAAGGTAAACTGAAGTAGGTCTAAAATACAAAGCTCTGTCTGGCTGACACAGCTATACCACCAAAACCCCTGGTTTAGATTCAGCTATGCCAACAGAACAGTGCTTTCATTGAACCTTTGTCATCTAAAGAACTGGTGTCACTATTCCGGAATAAAAAATTCACCCTGCTAGCAGACACAGTTTCTCTGAGGGACTTTTGATGATACAGTGTCAGTCCAATAAAAGATACCACTCACAAAATCCCTGTCTTGTGTATGATCACCAGACAATTGCTCCAACACTAGCATAGCTTTGTTTAAAATTTCTGCACTGGCTGAGGTTACATAAAGTAGACCTTAGCTGTATAGAAATTACTTTGTCATTAAATAAGTGCAATATTGGTATGATTAGCATAAGACCAATATGGACTGGGCCAAAGGATGTCAAAACAGCAAGGTGTTTTTGTAATGGTGGACTGACATTTTTAGAGTCAAATAGGAAGACTCACGGTGACAGGAAGCACCATATTGTGAGAACTGGTGAGCCATTAACAACTTTTACAGCCTTTGACACTGTTGAATCAGAGAAATTTGGAATCACACCAGTCTCAGGGCAGCAAAATTCACATAAAATTCCAGGCCAATTAGCTACTCAGAATGTGCAAGAGCGTCCATCATGTCTAGAGACACTTTTTTTTTTTTAATTAGGTATCTGCTTTTGCATCAAGATTCTTCTTCACTGCATGTTTCCCCTAATCTCATTCTCCAAAATGGCTGGAGCAGTTTTGGTGCAACAGTTTTTTAAAATCAGCCAGAGGCAGACACCCACCATTGCAAACTTGAGTTCAAATACTTATCACTTTGCCCAGTTGCAACTGAAAAGGTGGGCTTAAAACAAGTAGCACCAGACAACCTTAACTTATAGGCTAGGGACAGCCATTACACATAAACCAATTTAAGTAATCAGAAACTGGTTTAAACCTATAACAGAACAGATATTCAGTGCATATAAACCAGTTTGAAAATGACTGAAAATGATTTGAGATAAACCTGGTTGAATGTAGTATCAGACTTAACTGATTTGGGTCAAAACGGTTTATGCAATGCCTGTCCCAGACCCCTTCCTGGTTTAACTTAAACCAGAGTCCCCCATCATCCCAGATGCTTTGCAGGGCGGGCAAGGCTCTCTGCTCTAGAGAACAGACTGGCCTCACCCCTCTGCTCCCTAGCTAGAGCTCTGGCAGAGATGGCAGGGACAGCAGGGTATGCCTGGCTTCCCCCTGCCCCCTGCCCTCCACGCCCTGCTAAAGCAGGGATTCCCCCCTCCCCTTTCCCACAGCACGGACCATAGCCAGCATGTGGTATGCTAGCTAATGCTGAGAGGTTTCTGTGTAAGGCAGACAAAACAGTGTCCGCTTAGGGCGTTTTGGAGCTAATCAACTGGTCAGTTGGTATTGTCCCTCTGTTCCTTCCTTAGAAAGAGTTGCTTAAGAAGAGCTTGAACTAATGAGAGAGGCTTTTGTTTTCTTGATGGGGTGCTAAAGTCTCTGCTATCAATTCCCTGCTGGCTCCCTCCCTGGTCAGGACCAGGAAGAGGGAAATTGCTCCCTAATCAGAGTGTCCTGCCAGGGCCTGGGCCTGGCCATGCCTTTCCCCCTCCCTCAGCTGAGTATGGTGGGAAGAAAGGTAAGAGTACTCTAGTGCCCCCTAGCATCTAACTTGAGCCACTGCAGGCATGTGCCTGCATTTCTTCAGTCCGGAAGGAATGTCTGTATGGTTGCAAACCGGTTCAACCTAGCCAGGTTAGACTAACCTGCGAAGATTGAATCAATTCAGGCTCAGGCTTTTTGAATGTCTGTTCCTAGCCATAGACAGGGCCACCAGCTCTACAATACAATTTTTATAATAATAAAAATCATTGGAGTGTCCAAGTAAGATGCAATGCAAACTTTTAAACATTTAAATTGTAATTGCTCTCTTTGGTTAGATATTGAAGAAATTAATATCAAATAAAGACAAATTAAAACACAAGTCCTGGACAATTTTGAATTTGTTTTTGTGCCCCAAATGAAACAAGAATGCTACTCTTAACATTTTAGAAATGAAAATGAGAAATGGAAGATAATGTAATCCACCCCCCTAAGAACCAAATACAAGCTATGATAGACAACCCCATAGAACAAGGAAGGACATATCAAGTAAAATTTAAGATAATACAATCATGAAATACACAAAAGTGTCACAAAATTCATGCTCTCTAATGCGGCAAAAAAAACCCCAAACCTCTCTCATTCTGTCTGAAGAATTGACACTTGCTGCCAGCATTAGCCCTTTGGGTGATTTACTTATTTGATTGAGATTACTCATATGAAGTGGTGAGATTACATTTGTCATAGAGGATCTCAGATATATATCAATTATGCTTAAATTCAAATTCCTTTAAGTTCACTGGCTGAGCATCCAGCTGCAAAGGCACAGCTCTCCAAAGGCTAATTACATTGGTCAACTGGGCTGAACAATGATAGGACTGGTGAAAGAGACTGATTAGGAGGGCTTGTTGTGATTATAGTGCTTAGAAGAAAATAACCCATATTTAGACCAAACAATATGTATGGGATAGGAATGTTTAATATTAGTAGGGATCTATCTAATTCAAGGGGGCTGCTCCCCGATTTTGTGGGCAGAATGCGGGGCCCAACAGCCATTTCATAGGCAGAGTGAAATGCCCCTCCCCCCCAACTCTGATTGGCTGAGGGGCCCCGGTGGTCCTACCCTCACTGTTGATTGGCTGCAAGGGCTGTCCATCATCTAGACCCACCCCTATTGCCAATTGGTGAGAGGGAAGGGGCCACATGGCAAGCAGCTTCCAAAGCCAATCAGCAGCAAGGGGTGGAGACACCAGCCATCTGGCTAGCAACTCTCTGAGTGGGCAGCTTCCGCTCCCCTCTTCCCTGCCATGGCAGGATGTCATAGCACCCTGAAGAGTTCTGGCTCCTTCTGGGAAGCCAGTATTTATTTTCTGTAAGTTTGCTTTTTTTCCCCCATGGATTTTGCAGGCATTGCCTGAATATCATGGGCAACACCAGATTTCACAAAATTTTGATTTCGGTAGGTCCCTAAATATTAGTTCCGGAACATCAAAAGGGGAATCTCATCTAGATGGATGGCTCTGGGGACAGCATCTGGTGTTAGCAGAATATTTCTCACTGAAGACTTTTACCTTATTTTACAGATAAAATTGCTTAGATTCAGGCTGAGCAATCTGCCTTTGGAATGGTAGCAGTCTTAATGGAAGAACTGGCAAACACCCAGCCATTCAGACAACAGCAGTCACTGAGATGTCTCTCTGAAGCTTGGATCGCATGGGACAGGTCCAAAGATTTCTCCAGTGTGTGTGCGCCAACAGAATGGGAGGGGGATCTTTATTGGAAATCATTACTACCTCTTCCTTACAGGTGACAATAATGAAAACTTCTCTTTAAAATGACAACTAGAATTCTGGGAAAAGGGTATATCACTTGGTGAGGACACTTTATCCAATTATCTATCTGCTACAATCTCCCATTTTTGGGAAGGAACTCTCAGATATCTGTAGGAAGGTAATGCCCACCATATCTGGGCTTCCTCAGACCTGTAACTCAATAAATTGTTTTTTGGTTTGACTACGGTATGGATAGGCTAGCTTTGGTAAATAATTGTGTTG